CAACTCCCATGACCCCACTGCTTTATGATGTCATCAAATGGTCTTATGTTATTGTTTTGATTGACAGTCAGCCTCGTGGCCAAAGTTACATATTACATGTTTCGGTGAAGACGAATAAGAATTAAATAATATGAAAAGCTTGAAACCCAAAGCCATGGTGAAACAAGCTGATTATGATAAACATTTTACTCTACACTACTGATCTGGAAAAAAACACATATTTGCTACAAATACAAAAGAGAAACGGGTCTGAAATGTGTCTTTACAGAGTCTTTACAAAGCCCAGCAGGGCAGGGAGACTGGTCTGGGCCATGTTCCCTTCCCAATGATGATATGGACACTTTTATGGTTTATACTCTCCTGTGGTGTAGAGAGAGATGCTGGGCAAATCATTGGTTTATCACACTAGCATCCAAAAAAATAGCTTTTGTCATTTATGAGCCTTCAGATATATTGCACGTTTGTGGGGAAAGAATAAAGTATGTAGGTTATGCTGTCGGTGTTGCACCATACTGATTCTCCACATTAAAAGCATGCTCTATAATAGATGCAATCTTTTGAGCCATCGACCTTTTGAAAAGCTGACAATTCTTCTGTGCTCTGCATGACTAAAACCTATTGTCAAAGCATGGTGGCGACTCTCTTACTCTCAGGCAATTCATTAAGAAACACAAAACACAGTGTTGCTCTTACTAGGAGTTTGAAAACCTGTGAAGCGTGAAGAAGAACATGGAGATCAATGATCGTCACTTGTGTGTGTTCTGTTTTGCAATGAAAAACAAAAAAATAACTATGAGCTGGAGGCGAGTTGGAAACTTATTGTTTTTAGTTGCAGCTATTTACCAAACATCTGGTTGGTGGCGCTTCCCAGTCAGCTAGCATTCTCATTGACTACTGCAAGTTTCTGTCAAAGCTAATTTACGTAAATATCAAACATGTTTGATAATCGTGATCGGGGAGGCTGCAATCTGTAATATTAAGATTATATTGTAAACCCCTCACACTTCCAGATTATTTGTGCAGATAATCGCTCTGACTGGCCTCCAGGGTGGAATACCCGATTGCGATTGTTGGAAAGAGAAAATTTGGTCAAAATTGTCCTGAAAAGCCAAAGAAAAGAAAAAACAGTGAGCAACAAAAACAGTGTGGACAAAAGTGAACCACACACCATGCAAATGCAACGTGTTTGATTTTGTTGCAGTTTGACCTTTTATATGTTATTTTATCACCTGAGAACTGTGTGTGGGTGTGCAATCAATAACATAAAATAAATTGTATAACATGAATTGATTACAATTAATGATTAATAAAAAAGTTGAAATAGCTCAATTTGATCAAATACTCTTTAACTAAATCAATTAAGTTGAATTAACTTAAAAATATTATTGAGCACAAAAAAGCATCTAATGTAAACGTTAAATTGTTTCCTTATGTGCCCTGTGTTATTATGTTTGCAAGATACAGTCACACTGGTGTCAGATATTTCTTTTCACCCCAGCACTTCCCAAACGTTCTAGTCACATGAACATTCCTATCACCTAAACAGCAGCAGACTTACCTCAGGATTATGAAAGCTCTCCACAGACTTTCATACATCACTGGCTCTTCTGCTCTGTTTCTAATGCTTAGAATGCACCTTCCAATCCAACTGGTTTTTCTACATATTTATAAACCGTAAGAAGACAAACAGCCTCCACTGTAAATAATCCAGTCTGTAAAGTTTGCTTTTCCTGACACTGACATTTTTAATCTTGTCTCCATCTCCGCTCTAATCCATCTTGATGCAACTATACCTGCTCTTTCACTCCTCTCCTTGAATATTGCATGGTGTTTGCTCTTGGCACCATGTGCAATAGCAACAGCCAAGGTCACACAGTTGTACTCGACAAATTTCTTAGCGAGATTCCAATTCGGTTAAGTGCGACTTCTCAGGAAGAGTGGAAAAAGAGTAAAAAAAAAGTTAATTCCTTTCTATTTGTGTCTCTTAACATACGTCATGCAGTGTTCCTGGAGAACTTGAACAAGATGTTTCAAATGTCTCTATTTATGTCCATGGTTGTTGATAAGTATTTTGCTAATGTGTATCTGTTCTGAGTTTATCTGTTTCTACATTGGGACTATTTGTACGTACTGGTATAAGAAAAAATATGTGTCAGACTTGGTATTTTCTCACAAATGTTTGCCAAAAAAGTCACTTTCAACAGACTTTTAATCAAAGGCACATTTGGCGAGCCAGTAATGTGCCCCTCTGGAATACCCACAACGTCTATTGCTGCAATAAATTGAAACTTAACTGAAAGACCTTTTGATCCTTGATTGAAGAAGAAATGTGATGATACTATAAGATGGTAAGACTTTAATATTACCAGAATAAAGTCGTAATTTTGAGAAGAAAATAGTCATAATATTAAAAGTATAAAGTCTTAATTTCATGAGGAGAACCCGTGCTCGCTCAGTTCACTCCTTCTGGAGCCAAAATCTTAAACCAATGTCATTGTGAAACTATGAAAGCCCTTTGAATATCCCACAGATGTTCCCAAACATTTCTACCTCCACAAATGTGATAATTTCCTCCATGAGGTTCTTTCTCCAGAATGGACGAAGTTTCTTACACAAAGTCCTGATACTTATAATAGTGTGGTGCTTATCAGTATTTTTTCATATGCATTTAACAAAATATGTGTGGAACTTTACTATAAGCTTGTTGAGGAATTCCTTCCATAACAAGTTTCAAATGTGAAACTAGATGTTCCACCTGCCTCATTTCATGCAGAGGACATGCTGACCTTCTGATATTCCCCTCTAACACATGACCTCTAAAATTATGACTTGATTCTCATGATATCGAAACTCTATTCTTGAAATGTTGGATTCTTTTACTGTAAGTGTCCCCAATACTCTCAAAAGTGATCTGATCCAAGTCTACACATGGGAGCTGGGGGCCTCGAGAGATTCAGGATTTATTGCAAGCAGGGGGACAGTAATCTGTTTGGAGGCTACACAATGACCATGTTAGGATTTGTCGGACTCAAATTGCAGAAACAAAGAGCAGAGGCATGATACAGATAAAAAACAGATTTGATGAACAATTCAGAGAACGTGTTGTACAAGGCCATCAATAGAAAATACAATTTCAAAACTTGCAGTGTTCAAAGGGATTCAGTTGGTAAAAGCATCTAGTACAACATTACATGATGATAATAATACATCTATTGTTGTGGATTTGTAATCAGCTATAATGAGAAGGGGATTTTTGAGCAGGAACACAAAACAAAGATAACAGGAAGGTGTGAATGGAGTTTCTTTGTTTCATTCTGGAACCCTTATATTCTTGTGCTTTCTGCAACTGTTTGTGATTGTCAGTGCACAGATCAGCACTCCACTGGAAGGATGCTAACAGTTGGCAAAGGAGCAGTACTCAGTGAGGGGTGGTCCGGATTAAGATGTAAAATAAGAGGTAAAACTCTTTTTTTAAGAATTGCAGAATTGTCTTGTCACATTTTGTTTAATTGAAAATGAATGACAGTATGGACTGGTAATACTGAGGAGAAGTTGATCTGTTCTGAGTATAGTCAGATTATCTCAGGGTGTTTATATTTAAAGTAATAAGCAAAATGTGGTTGTGTTTTCTACAATTAAACTAAACAAATAATTCAACATATTGATTCATTGTTGCAATCTGCTGCCTGACATTTGCACATATTGCACATCTCAGTTTTAGCTCGAAATGTGTTGCGTCCTGTAGGTCAGCAAACAAAGCACTTGTGATATGAGGCTCGTCCCAGCAGTAAAGTGACAGAACAATCCCCTCGATTCAGAGCCGGAGAGGGCTGATGAGGAGCTGCACGTTCTCTCCCTAAATTTTCATGCTTCATCAGCCACCAAACAAATCCAACACAATGGGTCTCACTGCGAGAGGGGACGCATTCACCAAGCCTGAGGTTCATTTCTTGGAAAGACAGAGAAAAGTTTGAATTGCATTGCACATAGTGTTGTTTGGATGTGTGGTGCATTGATGTAAACAGATCTGTAAATAAAACTACAGACTAAGTCACACCAGTTATTGTTAAAGTCAGGTGTATCAATAATGCAATCAATAATACAAATATATAAAAACATGTTTATATGGATATGTTGATATGATGCACAAGATTAATATCTTGGCGGAACAATGGAATGCCTAAATCCCAGGCTGTCCCTAGTTTGAACAACTCAAGAGAGCAGTGGAAAGGATCTTGATGACGTTTGTCAAGAAGTAAAAGTCGAATGATTGATGGGGTCTGTCATAAATCACTGAGGGGAAAGACCTTCAGGTGAGAGGAGGCCTCGGCATTGAGTTTGTGCGTCTATACTTTGTGAAGCTGCATTTAGCAATCAAGGACATACACATGAAGGGAGTGTGTGCACAGTAAACTCTGGCTTTTATTCAGCTGTTTTTTGTCTCATTTGTATCAGTGTGCATCTGTCCTGCTGTTATTCACTGATAGGTAAGCTGTTGTCCACTCTTGTTTATCGTTGCCCTCCAACACAAAGCAGGTGACCCTTTGTCTTCATCCAGCTTCCTCTCTGCAGTGCACCCTCTCAAGTGTTGTAGTTTATACCTTCATGGGAAATATCACATATCAGACTTCTCTTTATATCATATATACAAAATTTTTGAGCCTTGTGCGAATACAGTAAATATGTATTTCTGTCACATACAAGTTTGAATGAAAATGACTGATGATCTCCACCTCAGCTTTCAGTCACGATTCTGCAGAAAGATAAGAAGTTGGTTTTCATAGTAATCTGAACTCTCTGGGGTCATTACGCACGGTATCTGAAATGGGATTAACTCACTATAAATACAAATGGGAATGAAACATGTCCCTGCTCTGGACCAATATTGCCCATGCTGAAATAGTATATTAAGATGAGTGGACTTTTAAAAATATGTGGCTCTGTTTTTGTCTGTCTTCCTTGGACACATGTTTTGACATTGAAGATAACAGCGGGTTGATGCGGGTGAGCTCTTTGGAAAGAGCTGTGACTCATTCACTATTCCTGCTCCGTCCGTCCTGCCAGCAGCTCGGCATCATTCTCGGAATCACCGCCTCGCTGCGTCTGGAGACCAACTTCTGCGTCTGGTGCGCACACAGCTGTACGTCCTGGACCAGATCCCATAATCATCCCGAGAAGCTGACATAATCTCTGCATTTTCGCGGACATAAAACATGCGAAGCCTCGGTCAGGGGGTCTCATCCGGCACCAAACTCCAACAGGGAACTCCCTCGGCGTTTTTCGGCTGTTCCTCCGTTACGCGCACACTCATCCAGCACCGTCCGCGACAATGACTTCGGCACTGCCTCCCTCTAAAGCCCTCTACATTGGGATGGAGGCGGTGATCGCCGTGTCCTCGGTCATCGGGAACGTGATGGTGGTGTGGGCCGTGCGCATTAACAGGTCTCTGAGGGACACCACGTTTTGTTTCATCGTCTCCCTGGCCTTGGCTGACATTGCGGTGGGCGCGCTGGTCATCCCCCTCGCCATCACCATCAGCATCGGACTGAAGACGCACTTCTACAGCTGCCTGCTGGTCGCCTGCACGGTGCTCGTCCTCACGCAAAGTTCAATCCTGGCGCTGCTGGCCATCGCCATCGACCGCTACCTAAGAGTGAAAATACCCATGAGGTAGGCCTAAAGGTGAATTCCTCTAGTTTTCAATCTCTTGTCTCAGTCACAGGAAGCCTTTGTGTCTGCACCGCTGCTCAGACCAAGGACACTAGCCATACATTTAATTACACGTCCACTCAGGAGTGAGTGGGATAGCACATGCCGCGTTAAATCGTTTTGTCAGTTTCATTTGAATTGATTTACAGTCACATTAATGTTGGCATTGTAATCTGCTGTAACATCTACATCAGTTGATAATCTGGAAATAAAAGCGGAGAAATCATTGACACGTCATAGCCTATAGCCGATTTAATGGTTCACACATAGGAAATGCAAAAATCACCTTTTCATTTACCCATTAACTCATCATTTGTCGTTTAAATAAAAAATGTACATCTTCGGCACATAGTTCTTAAACTATATATGACTGAAAGGTTGCAGGAAGAATAACATATATACTTATATATACTGGGATGAATACATACATAAATAACATCAGCATAGATTACATTATTGTGATTGTACCCTCAACTAATAGATCCTCTGATTGTTAAATATTTCCTTCCAGATTTTAGATGTTTTTGGAGGTCTGAATATGTATTTTAGCTGCAGACGGATAGATAGATAGATAGATAGATAGATGGATATGTTGAAGCATGTGGGAGTCACACATGTTACTTGATCTTCCATATGGTCTCTATTGGTTAGAGGCAACAACATGGTGGGAAGTGAGATAAACTGGCATGGTAACAGATCTTATAAGCAGAGCAGGAGGTTTTGAAATTGTGGATCTTGTTTTTTGGTTGCATTTTTGTTTATGACAGCTCACGCAAAAAACTCAAGTTTCCACTTCAGGGTGGCTCATGTGACAATGAGCCTGCACAGTCTGGCAGAGAATGCATGATTGGTCAATGGGCTCATGGTCGATGGTTGATGGATTGCATAATTTCTTAAACTGGCAAATAACATGCACACACACACAAACACAAACACATAAGCATGCACACTCACTGCAGTCTGGAGAGAGGTAACACAGTGACGGTACAGGAATCATTTGAATACATCATATGAACACACGAGTTTATATGAATAGATACATACAGGTTGTTACTTATCAGTGTACTGTGGTGTTGCTCAGCTCTTCATATCATACATTCCTATTTCCAAAACAGGATGAATAAGAGAACTTCATTTATCATTTTAAAAAGCAGCATTATATCTTTAATTTTCTTTATATGTTTCTCTCCAGGGTTAGCATTAGCATCAGAAAAACTACGAGTTCTTCAAAAAACAAAAAGCTCAATTTACAGCATAAAATCTGAGAATGTTTTCTTCCACCTCAACAATAATCCATTTCCATCTGTACAACCTTCAGAAATTGCCCCCCCTCCCTAAACCACCCCTGGGACTGGAGGGACACAGCTTAACAAGCACCAATTGCTTTTTATAGCAGAGGTGGTTTGGAAGCAGACTCTCATGATAACAGTGGTCTGTGTGAGATTTAAAAATATCAGCGGTGAGCTCAGCTGGAGGGTTTGATTTGCAGGTGGGGCTCACAGGGATCAAAATTCCACAGGAAAGCGCAGATATAGACGGACAACGGTAAAGCAGAAAGCAATTTTTGTCAGATGAACAGCTGATCTGTAAGCAGACAGGAGGCTGAGCTTCACCAGCAGCACATGCTGAGTGTGGAGAGCAAAAACTGACTTCACATGTAAGAGGACCTGTTCCAGACAAGGCCTCTTTAAACATCCCTCCTTGTCCCTCCCATGTGTGCCTCGCTCTGGTCAAACTCTGAGTGTGTGTGTCTGTGTGTGTGTATATGTGTGTGTGTGTGTGTGTGTGTGCATTTTCCGTGAGAGAGTGTGGGTGAGGCAAGAGTAACTAACATTAATCAAAGTAATAAATATAAAAGTTTGGATCTGGTACATATTTCAGCAGTGTGTGTTTGTGTGTTAGCCAGAGAGCAGAAGTGATAAGAGCAGAAAATATGTGCCTGAAAAAAAAAGGGGGGGGGGGGGCATGTACCCTTCATCAGCTTTGAGTCAGCGGGACATGTTTAGACAGGAGGTTTTAATTTAAAACTCAACATGTCCCGTTGAAATTCCTAAGAATTGCAGACAGTTATGTGAGGCAACAAATGCAACTGTTCTCTCTTTACAGAGAAGCAGAAATGTTTCTCCTTCATGTTTGAAAAAAGAAAAAAGCAGAAGAGATTTTCCAGAGTGGGATTTAACAGGTACGCTGCATTCATCTGTTGCCAGGCTACAAAGCCATTTTCAGACAGGTACTGCAGAAAAAGTGCAGACAATCAGGTCTGGATATTTTCTGACATGCATGTAAGAAGACGGCAGCAGGAGATTGTTCGGATTAGACACATTCACAATAACAGCAAAATGTCCGGAGTGGTCAGGACATGATGTATACATCATGCTGTAAAGACATGTCTTTACAGCAAATCAACACAGCGTCGGCCCTTATTGCCAAAAGCTTGAATCTCTGTCCACGTTGGAATCTTTGTCAACTTCGTCTTTTTCGTTTTGAGATATTTTTATATAATATTTGTATGTTTGACTCAGGTTTTTTTTCCAGTCTCGTGTCCGTCATGGTTGATAATACTTTCCACGTTCTGTGTCCACTGAGAGTTACGTACTCCTTCCAGTCACATATACATTCCCCCATGGTTCTATACTAAAATGAGAGTCTGCGTCGTTCTGGTGTTCCATGCTATCGTGGATATGTTGTACCTTGAGCATGTTCAGGGTCACAAATTTTGGGCTGCATGCAGCTGTCCGCATAGGGGTCCTTGCGTTAAAAAGTAGGTAATGAAAACCATAGGGGACTCCATCGGACCTCAACTGACTGGCCGGTGCAGAAACTATGAATTTGCTTTTAGAAGCATGATAAACACGCCCACTTGCTCACAGTGAATTCTCACAATGTAGAGTTTTGTGCCAGACCTAAAAACTCCAAGGGAACGTGTTCCTTGGACATTTGCATTCCCACATACAGCCCCTCTGGAAAACTTCAGGACAAATTCTGAAGTCCACTGCATTTTTGACAGTCCAAAAAGAAGAATTAACATTTTTTTCCAACTCAACAAAGGGCAACCTCTAAGCTGAATTGTATAACTTTTGAAAATAGAAATAACACGTTTATCCTTCAACAAAGCAACCATTTCCATTCTTAACTCTTAAATCTTCAGGAGTGTTGTTGACCTATCTTGGATAAGCAGTAACTTAAGACTGTTGCTAAATCATAGCAAACTTGAACAAGATTTTGCTGTAGGCTACAACTCCCATTTCTAGTTGACTCGTCACTCTTCCTCACTTGTACTTCAGCTGTTGCTGATGTTTCATCATTGTTACATGCGGCAACTGTGAACTTTTAAAAAGTTGAAACAGCACTCCAAGACAGTCATGAAATGTGCTAACATCATGTTTGTGATGTCACTATACTTGTATTATTCATTCATTCCCATCTTGCCAGGACCTGAACCTCGATGGGACTGTCTTGGTCAAATTAAGGATAAATAAAATAAAAAAACATTAATATGTAATATGGAGCAGATGAACTGATAGTAAAACAGAGAGAGATTTATTTTTTCCTTTTTTCACTTTATCTTCTCCCTTGTTGCCATAGCTACAAGCAGGTCGTGACCCCTCGGCGAGCAGGCACGGCCGTGTTGTTGTGTTGGCTGGTATCCATCATAGTCGGCCTCACGCCTATGTTGGGCTGGAATAACTTGCAGCGTCTGCGTGACAACGGCTCACTGATCACTGACGAGCAGTTGGTGACCTGCGAGTTCGAGACTGTCATCAGCATGGACTACATGGTCTATTTCAACTTCTTCGGCTGGGTGCTGCCCCCTCTGCTGCTCATGCTGGCCATCTACGTGGAGATTTTCTACATGATCCACAAGCAGCTCAACAAGAAGGTGAGGACAAGCCTGGTCACTCTGTTTGACATGAAGCAATCTAAACACAGTTTGCTATGAAAACAAACACATGCAGTGATTAGACTAAAGTTAAATTCATAAGATGATGATAATGTTCCTGCTTTATCTCTTTGTAGGTGACTGCAAGCCACACAGACCCGAGACGTTACTTTGGTAAGGAGCTGAAGCTAGCCAAGTCTCTCGCCCTTGTTCTTTTCCTCTTCGCAGTCAGCTGGCTTCCCCTCCACATCCTCAACTGCATCACCCTCTTCTGTCCGGACTGCAACAAGCCAGTGTTTCTCATTTACATCGCCATCATCCTCAGCCACGGCAACTCAGCCGTCAACCCCATCATTTATGCTTTCCGCATCAAGAAATTCCGCACAGCGTTCCGGAAAATCTGGAAACAATACTTCCTTTGTCAGGATCCAGTCGGTCGGCTTCCTCAAAGAGGGAGCCAGAGAGGACACAGTCATGAGAGGAGGCTGAGGCAGATTGATGATGACGATGATGATGTGTGAGCTTCGCCAACTAATTGTGTGGCTGTGTAACTGTGAAGTTTCACTCAGATTGGCACAGGATGGAAAGCACTCTGAATTTATGCTCACACTTGAGGGATTAGCAGGAAAAAAAGCCCTTAGTGGTATTGAGAGTGTCAGAGGGATAAAAAAGAAGAGGGAGGATTTCCTCCATCCAACCTGCTTCAAGAAGACAGTGACAAATGGAGACAATCAACTAAATCAGTACGATTTAGTTAAGACTGTTTCTACACTGGCTGACAAAATGATGACAATGTCATACGGGATATGGGGCTTCTCACGAGTTTCAACACAATCCTGTTGAACTTCAGTAAGTGTAGTAGTGTATCCTGAACTGCTTATTTTAACTATACTAAAACTCTTTTCGCCTTTTTCATGTGATTCATCTCACATTGTTAAGCATCTCATGTTTGCTTCACATTTGCTACTTTCTGTGGCCTTAAGGAAAGAAAACAAACACTAGAAGCTGGAGGAGCATTCAGCATAGTGCTAATAATTGTGGGCAAACACAAAGTTGTCACAACCTGCTGTGAGAGCAACCAGGATACAGGATGTATGTTAAATGCATCATGGATGAAAAAATGTTAAATTGAGTCACTTGGTTTATTTCAGCTGTGTTAATGGTAAAGTTACGGTGTTGCTTGTCTTGGTCTAGTACCAAATCATTACAAATAAATCTCTGTAAAAGACATTGTTCAGAGTTGTTTTCCACAAATGTATGCAGTCATTCATCAGACACATGTGGCCTGTGGTGCTTAACCACATGTGAAGGGTTTTTTTTTTTTTTGGAAACTCTGAGACTCTGATCAACTGAATGACTAATACTAGCTAATAGTTGTATCTGAAACAATAATGCTCCTATTGTAACTCTGTAGCTACACCAGTGCTGTTCAATAGAAGGCTGTGAATGTCGCTGCATCCAATGAGCTTCATTTATATACATCTATGTCACACCTAGCAGGACCTGTCCACTACACATAAGTGTGACTTTTTCAAACCTCTTCTCTGGACTCTTTGTGATGAAGTTGGTTTAAAGGTGTAGCTTCAGTCATTTTTCTTACAGGGCGGATAATGACACAGGACTGCTGACATGGACAATGTGCACTGTATGTAACTAATGTATGTATAAATAGTAATGGGAGATTTTATACATCTGTATAAAATTCACCTCACTGAGCAAACAGCTGATTAAATCTGATATGTCCTCTGACAGCTGTTGGTTGAGTGAACACACTGGGGAATCCAACCTCCAAGCACCGTATTTCATTTTTTATGACAATGACAAACAGTGAGAAAAACATGGCACAACATACGGTGAGGCCTGATTTGAATTCATTGTGCTGACTGTGCATTAGCAGTTGGAGGCATCAAAATCTGCTCCGTGCTTTATGACAGTAACAGCATCTCACTTTCCACGACGGGTGCTTCTGTGCCATTTTAGTCAGGCACACATGCATCTCCTTTCAGTCGGCAGAGAGCGGCTTCATGTCTGAGTAAGTGTGGAGGTTATGAGGGTCCAGGATTCCAAGGGTGAGGCTGGAGAGGGTGGAGGATTATTATAGTCACAAGGAAACTAGCAGGTGAGAGTGAAACTGTGGAGGTCGGACCACACTGGTGCTCTGTCATCAACTAGTGAGGCCTCTTGATGTGACCCTATTGATCTCTTGTCATGTTTTTTTTTAAACAGTAAAATGTTCAAGTGAAATCCATTTCAATGGAATTATAAATGGTGCTATGCTACTGAATGTGCTAATATAGTATTAAAAAATGTTGTCAACCCCGGGAGCTTTTTTTCCCTGTGCTGGAAAAACTTTCATCAAATAAAATGTGCGGGGAAGTTAACACAGAAGCACTTTACCATTAGGCTCAGCCCCCGTCTATATTCTATGGACACTACATTGTTAGTCTGTGATTCAACTGCCACTTATCACAGTGTAGTAGTAGTCAAAAGTAGTTTTTAATACATAATACAAATAGCGGCTTAAAATGTTTCTCTGTGTACTTTAAAGTTACAGTGTGTAGAATTTAGTGATATCTAGTGGTGAAATTGCATGTGGCAGCTGAACACCCCTCACCTCACACTGTCCTTCGAAACATGACAGAGAACCTGTAGAAGCCTTCAGTTGTCATAAAAACTCAAAAGATGTTTAGTTGGTCCAGTCTGGACTAATGTAAAAAACATGGCTCCTCCGTAGAGAGGGTCCCCTCAATGTGAATATAACGTATTTAAATATAAAGTATTTAAATATAAAGGGCCTTTTCTGGGGTAAAGATAACAACAATTAATACAGTTTTGATGAAACACACTAGTGAAACGTCACTAGGCTTATTTTATATTCAATTTGTGCCAATAGATTATTTTCTCTAAACACTGGACCTATAAGTGAAACCCTGAGATGAATTAAACATGGTTTGTGACTGGATATTGGATGTGGAAAAAAAAGATTGCTATGGCTTTGTACTTAGCATGCTCTTAAGTGTTTCAGCACCAGCGACAGTGGACAACACCGAAAAGCATCTCCATGTGAAATGTAGTGAGCAATTTTGTTTTACGCTAACAACTGTTCTCTATTAAATATACATTTTCTTAAATTTTCTTTCTTGATTAATCACATATTTAGGTAGAGGTTTTACATCCTAGATGAAAGATGTGTGTATGCAGAAGTCACTATGAACTGAAGGATGATGAGGTCTCCAAACAAGATTACTGTGCAGAAGCAGAGGACAGATTTCATTTCAATTCAGTTGTGTCTTCAGTGGTAAGACAGTTGTGGTTATTTGAATCAAGCATAAGTTCCTGTTTGGCAATATAAACACAAATTATTCCAGTGCATTAGAAATGTCCTGTCCTTCTCTGACACATGCTGCAGCAAGTGATCCGACACACCGCTGTAACTTGTACCATTCAGTGCTTCCTCCAAAAAAGGGGGGAAGCAGAGGAAAGTATCTGACAGCTCGAGCCTATCACACAAAACTTTGCATCTGCCTGTCATTCCTGGACGTTGCACTCGGGTATAGCGTTTTCGCATCTATACCTAATATGCATTTGCTGTAGAATTGAGGGACTCAGTCACAAAGAACACTGGTGGCTTCCTCTTTTTCCAGTATCTATACATCTGTGTTCTTGATATCCGGGACGGTAAAGGATGCCAGGAGGTCAGAAAGGCAATTACCTGTTCACAGTGTGACAATGACCTATGGATATGATCCACTCCTGAGGTAAAGCATCATCCAGTTCAGCAAGATCTCTACCTGAACACTTACTGCAGCCTCAGTGGAAGAGCTGAGCTGCATCTGGTTCTCAGGAATAACCACATATCTGTCACACCAGCACCTTGGTTTTCTTCTCCTTACTCAATCCTTTAGGACTCTGTTGTCATTTTCAGGGTCACTGTAATTAGTTCTCCTACGAATTTCTCTTCATTCCTTTACTTTCCTCTTCCCTGTTCATCTTCTTTATCTCTGATTTGCTCACTAGGCATCTGCATAATTTAATTTTTTCTTCAAAAAGTATATCATTCCTGTAGTAAAGATGTGTAAACTGTTATGATCTCTGGTTCTGATGCCTGAATTTGGTAAAAATCTGTATGTGTCTTTAGCATGTCCGTTGGTATAGAGGTACACTCCCAGTATTTTGACTTTGATCTTCTTATACAGGTCTACCACTGTGCAGTCTTGGTCAGTTACATTTTGTAAAAAGTCATGAATGCCATAAACATGATCCTCTAGATTCAGAGACTTTGAAAATCAAGCAAAATAAACAGGAAATCTAAGAAACCTCCCTTTAAATTAGACATGGTAATAGAGAACAAAATGGCTGTTTTGAGTTCATGAAGATGTCTCCATCTTCTGGTAGATTGTAGGCTTGAGCATGCAGTTATGACTTTTACTAGATTTACTAGATTTTTTCTTCAATTCACAGCCTCCTCCCCTCCCCATTTCTAATAATGATATCTGCAACATGTAATGCAATATATAGGATTAACTCACAGTGACAATGTCAGTCAGACTTTTTATATCCTTGTACACCTGATGAGTTAAAAGCCTCTGGACGTCTCGCCTCAGAGAGTTGTGGGGAAGGCACCCTCCCCATCTGCCACCGCTGTGGTAAATGCCCAACTAATTGCATTTTCACTGCACCATATAATTATGCCATTGGGATTTTAGTGTGCCATATTTTTCAAGTTAGTTAAAGGACAAGTGCTCTGTGGGTTTAAAGTTTAAAGCAACAGGTATCAGCAGAAAACAACAGATCTCATGGATTCACTCAAATAGCAGCATTGAGAAGTGTTACTGTAAACTGGGAGTGGATATCTGCTGGACAAAAAAATCAAATCAGATGGAGTGAAGTCAAAGATTTGTTCTCATGGTTTCAGACTTAAATGAAGAAGGTATTCAATGTTTGTGTCGAGACTGACAGCAGGAATTTCGAAAATGAATGTGCATCCTTGACGTTCCTTTCCCACATTGGTGAAAATCTACAGTCATATGCCTTCACATCCCAGTGTGAACTGTGTGATTATGACAAAAGAGAAAAGGACACTATGAAGAACAGGTTTGTTTCCTGTACTGCAACTAGACTTTGAACTTTGGCTTCAAGTCATATCAAACAATCAAGTTTCCCACAAAGAAGAGAAGATGAAGTGTGGATGGACACCCCTGAAACAGCCAAATATCTGCTCAACTCTCATTATAACAACACAGTTTATCAAAAATCATGACCTCCTATCACAATATTTGCTGATTTTAAATCTTACATTTTTAGAACTTGCATCTTCAGAAACATGATTCAGTGACAATTTCTATTCACTACATCAAATATGATGCATCATTTTCAGTTTAATGTGAGGAAAGAACTCAAAATGGGTTTCATAAAGCGTAACTAAAATGGAAGTTGAATCATTTAGAAAGACGTTGTTAGTCTTGTATTTATTGTTTAGCTGATAAGTATCTTCTTTTTACATTGACCTTAACAAATGTGAATTGATCCACTGACGTCCTGAATATTCTTTATGCATCTTACCTCTCATTAAGAAATCTAAGAAAAAACAACAAGGATAATCAATACATCTGCAACGATGACTGAAAATAATTTTCATCATATACTCAACTCAATTTATATTAATTTATTTATTATTTATTATTTTAAAAATATCCACATGAAAAACCAGTGCACTCAGAAAAATGCAGCCGGAATAGAGGAGGTTGCCCTCTGCTGGTTACTGCCCAGAAGTGAAACAACATGAGGCGACAGTTCCGTGGAAAAATCTTCAAAGAAATTAAATTTTGGGCTGATTTACAAACTATTTCAGATCTGTGGTATAATCTGTTGTAGGTGTAAAAGAAAATAATACAAATACTGCCTTGTCTGATGGTACACACATCCAACTATTTTACTGCCACTGTATGTGGTGGGAAAATATAGAAATATATACTGTATAATGTATATGATGCACGCTATACATAACATGTATATGAATACCAAATGTACTTCATGTCATTTTAGAGTGAGGTTTTCAAAATGACATTATGAGAGGCTGGTATAATTTTCATTAAAAGACCATGTTAAGTTTAAGTTGAAATTCATGTTTGGAAATCAGACATATTAAGGTTATTGGTTTTCCACAAACACACTGTTAATGTGTACACATATTTTACTATATGACTTACATAAATATCCAATAAAAGAAGCATCTCCCCAAATCAAGATATGCTTTCTGCTGACACAAACACAAAACACATTTGACAGGCATTTCTCATTTCTCCTATTTTATTCCTCCTCTGAATATAAAGCTCTAACAAAGATAAACAAAAGACCCATTGCTGACCCAAGTTCTTCTAAACGAGTCTGGTCTTTAATGACTGGTTGTACATCAGCACCCTGTTAGCACTGTGACAGCATAAAATCGACCATTACCAACGTTAATTACAAGTAAAGTTATTTAATTCAAAACTCAAGTGTGATCAGTGAAAGAATAAAATGGCTCCTGTCAGTTATATTGTTATACGCTATTAGATTTATTTTACTGATGCATTAAAATGCAAATAGGATTTTAATGTTGTACTTGTTTGAGCTGTTTTATATGGTCATTATAGTGTATTTTTTAAAACAGGCACAGTCGTCTGTGGGAGTAAAAGTATTAAATAGCATAAAACTCAAATATTCAAGTTAAGTACATGTAACTTAGAAATGTTACATATTACTGACGATATGAGTTCACTGTTGGAAACTGAGCTCCACAGAAAAACCTGTGATGTAAAGAAACAGCACCGTGACTTCCTCATTATTGAGTTTGAATGAGCCCTACAGGATACATTAGGATGATTTATATGAGACTAGATTGATAAAAAACACTTTTATAAATCAGTTTCACTATGTTTTAGTAGTTATAATCTCCATGTGCTTTTATGTGTCAATTTTTTAAAACACATTGAAATTTTGTTTGGATAATGCTTAATAAATCTTATATATAATAACTATAGTAAACATTTATAAAATGCCACACATAAAAATATCAGTGTCATAAAAATATTTTACTGATACACAAATGATTTTCACATTATTATTGAAATCATTACAAAAGGTGATAACAAATTGCAGAAAAACACACAGCAGCCCATAAAACAATCAGGCTGTGTAAATGATTTGGTGTCTTCACGGTGCACAAGCATCTATGGCTAAAACTTGTAGCGAAAATATCAAAGTTTATGAAGGTTCCAACAAACACATAAAAGCAGTGACACATGTACATCTGGGATTGAATTTGGACATTTTAAATGTTT